ATGAGTTTTAGGCATTTTTGCTTTTTCATAATAAAAATTGCTCTTCTGCTGTAAATGCACATTCAGCAACTCCTGACTATGACAAGCTGGAGAAAGTGGGAAAGCAGGTGTCTTATGTGCAGATTGGCGGTTTGTTTGTGTGTGTCTGTGTGTGTGTGTGTGTGTGTGTGTGTGTGAGAGAGAGAGAGAGAGACTCATTTGTAGGACACAAACTATGTAGGAAAATCCCAGCCTATATATGGTTGGCATCAGCCAATAAGCTTGTACCCAAGATTGAATAAAAAGGGGGGAAAGGAAGACTCTCTTTTCTGTGGAGGAACTCTGGAATCTGCCATTGCCTTTGGATGCTGGTCTCCGGCTCCTTGAGGCTTCCAGATCCAACTATGCCACATTCAGTGCAAATTCTTGAGTAGGAAAAGAACATGGGATTAATGGGCAGTGAATCAGAGGTAATCTGTAGGGTCATGTCCTCTTGCCTTACTCAGACACATCCAGACATGTGATCTACTAATATCTTAGGCATCTTTCAGGCCAATAATTTTGACAGTAAGTCTAACCATCACATGACTCCAGGTGCAAACTGTACTGTGGTGAAATTAATATGTTAAAAGACAAGCTCAATTTCTGAGATGGGAACAGCATATTATGAAGAATTCACTCTTATGTCTTAGCTATTTCTGCCCTTCACAGAGAACTGATTGAGGGTGAATGTGTATCGCAAATATTATTCTGAGTTTTCTGTTAAGATTAGTTGACAGAGTTCTGGATATCTTTGTGACTTTGGAATAAATATGTTTCTTGTCTGAGACATTGGAAATATTTTAATTTCTTTCATCTTGATTCCTTTACATAACGCTGCCATCATTTTATACCAGGTTCTTAATTTACTAAATATTTCTATTCCCTGTTTGGCTTGGTTTTATTGAGTTCACTGAAAATGTCTGGAGAAGTTTTGAGAAAGTCTGCGCCATGAAGCCAAGTGCCTCCTTCACTTTTCTGTCCACTGACAGCTTTAGGCCTTTCCTTCTATTACATTGTGTTCTGCCCTTGCCAGGACCCAGATTCTTCCTTGGGTTTAGTGATTCTCTCCCTGTGACATTTACTGTGGAAGTGCAGTGGCACAGTTGTGACCTTATTTTCAAAGACAAAAGAAAAGAAAGAGCCCCTGAGTCCAGTGCATAGATAGCAGTCATATCTGGGTCCCTGAAATGATAATAGATCCTACATTCATTTTCGTACTTATATTTGATCATTACTGTTTAACTGAGCTTTGCACTTGAATCATGTGTCTTTAAAATATTTATGATTTAATCTCTACTTCTTAGGAGTATTTTAAGTGTGTTTTTATTATTTGTGTCAAATTTAATTTTAAGAGGTATGAGAGCCTGCTTTGCACAGTTTCCTTACTTGAGCACATTATGTTTTTTCTTTTTTGATTTTTTAATTATATTTACAGTACATCATGATTACATTCATTGTAGGGAGCTGATACATGTCCATCACATATTTCAATCCCCCCCCAAGTTTCATTTCACTGTTATTGCTCTGAACATGGTCTATTTGAGTGAATATTTCTTGTGATTTTGAGAAGATTTTCTACTATGTAGTTATTAGATGAAGTATTATTTAACATCCAGTCAATACCTAGGCAGCATGATGTTAATTTTAACTGTTCCATTACAGACTTTTCCTCCTTCTTCAGCTATCAATTACTGATGGAGTTGATTTGATATCTTCAGACAGAGTTGTGAATCATTTCTCTTCATAGTCATGCTTTCCTCATGTAATTTGATGTTCTGTTGAGTAGAGTATTGTAGACAGATTGCAAGAGAACAGATTTAATACTGGACACATAATTTATCGGATTATTTCATAATATCCCACCAAAGTGTCAAATGCAGAGAAGAGCAAGAGATCTGTCCACATGCTAGAGACCCAAATAATCCAGTTAAGGGTCTGGATCCCATGACAGTGTCCTGAACAAGTCCCACTGAAGACCTAGAGCTCATGGCCACATCCTCCATGAGTCCAGCTGGAGGCCTAGAGCCCATAACAATGTGTCATGCAAGTCTGTGTCAAAGATCTTCACTGGGAAGGCCCACTGGTCAGTGGTGGACGCTAGAAAGTCTGCACTATGAGGGTGAAGGATCTGTGCCACCAGGCTGAGGGATCTGCACCAGAGCCAGAATAGAAGTTCAAGATAAAGACGACAGATCACCTGAAGAGAATAGCAGGTATCCTCAGCAACAGCAATGACCCAAGATCCTCTGATGATGAAAACAGCTGAGTTCATGTGAGGAAAACCAGCATGACAAGCTTCTCCAGCAACAGCATGCCATCTTCTCCAGTTCTCTTTTTATGTTGTTGGCAACAATCCCCAGGTGGGCCTTCCGCATCCAGAAACATGCTGATTCAGTTCAGCTGGTTGTTCCAGTTGACCATTAGTTAATTTACTATAAACATGTATCCAAGGGACTATTGTTTTTAAGAGAACTGCCTTTTATATCACCATCCAATCGCTGGAATTATTTTGAACAACTGTAACATGTCAAATTAATATAACTTCTGCACATTTTGTTGAATCATTGATAGACCAGTATGTCTTTTTGCATAGGTTTCTATGTAATCCTCCGTCATCAGTGTCAACATAATGACTCCTGTCCAGGTGGCACAGTATTGTGACCATAACCCAGATGTATAGACATTGATCAGCTCTGGTGTCTGTGCTTTCTTTCTCTGACAGTCTAACTGTCCTCCTGATGGGCAATATAGAGTTAGGCACTGCTTGCTGGGTGTCTGTGGGTCTTTTGTTTGCAGCTGTGCTGCTTTGCTTATCGCTGCCCAGTGTGTGAATGTTATTTCATCTTTTCATGTATGAATGCAGACACATATGAATTAATTTGTACTTTCTTAACGGTGATTTAGTGGTTAAATATTTTACAATAAATTTTATTTTCAAAATTGTTGGTGAGACTTAACACTAATAATGTAAATATCCTAGGAAAATTCAGAAAATTTCTTCACTGGGCCATGGCCAATGGGTGAGAGCATGTAGGTGATTGGTACCCTACCTGACTCAACCCT